AGATCAGATAGGGCTGGAGGGTGTGTTTTTCCAAGCCTGATGACTGCTGTGGGGCTGAGAGCAAACTGGGTGTGCCCAGAGTTGTGTCTTTCTTGTGTGTGCCAGTCCCAGCCAGGGAGGTTGTTGGATATTGTAGAATCATAGAATGGTTTGGGTGGGAAGGGACCTTAAAGATCATCCAGTCCCATCCCCTGAATGGGCAGGGACACCTCCCACCAGCCCAGGCTGCTCCAAGCCCCATCCAACCTGCCCTTCAACACTGCCAGGGATGGGGCAGCCACAGCTTCCCTGGGCAACCTGGGCCAGGCTCTCACCACCCTCACACCAAAGAATTCCCTCCTCATCTCCAACCTCAATCTCCCCTCTTCCACTTTTCTTCCATCCCCCTTGTCCTCTCACTCCCTGCCCTTGTCCCAAGTCCCTCCCCAGCTTTCTTGGAGCCCCTTCAGGCACTGGAAGGTGGTCTAAGGTCTCCCTGGAGCCTTCTCTTCTCCAGGCTGAACACCCCAACTCTCCCAGCCTGGCTCCAGGGCAGAGCTGCTCCAGCCCTTGGATCATCTTTGTGGCCTCCTCTGGACTCTCTCCAGGAGCTTCTTGTCCTTCTTCTGTTGGAGGCTCCAAAACTGGACACATCTGGGGGAGGAGAAACTGCTTTGGCCTGGGGTGGCTGCCAGGGCAGTGCTACAGCTCTGATGCTCACCCCCAAACTAGAAGCCTTGCTGGGGAACACCTCAGGGCCTGGCCAAGAGTCAGGCAGAGCAGGATTTCAGCCCTTCACTCTCTCCCCATGTGCTCTCTGCCCGCCTGGGGCTGAAATTCAGCTTCAGACACACGTTGGCTTCTATCTCCTGCTTTTTATGCAGCCCACTTGCCAAACCCCCCCGAGCACAGAGGGACTTGGAGGGAAAAGAGCAGGACATGGAGACAAATGCTCAGTGTTGCTGGCACAGGGAGCTGATTTTCCCTTGATTCCTTGACATTGCAATTGATGCTCAGCTTAATGGACTCTTCTACCACTGCCAGTTTGCTGTTAAAATTACTCCCAATTATGGCAAATGTTTAGGCATGAGCAGAACTGCAAGCAACTCCAGCTTGCACATCACATTTTTGTGAGGCTTCTAAGGTGATTTTTAGTTTCATTTCTCCTCATTTTGCATTGCCAATCAGGACATGCCAAAAGCTGCTTTTATGGACTGCAGAAACCTAGAGCAAAAAGGTGCCTGTTGCTCTAGTGTGAAGAAGTTTTGGAGTCAGGTGCTTTGTTTTCAGCTCTCTGTTCCCCTTTGAGTACTTCTGCATAATTAAGAGGTGAACCTGGCAGACAGCATCCAGCTAATACAGATATGATTAATTTCCATCTTCCCTTTTGATTTTAAAGGTTGTCCTTTCCAATGCAGAGAGCATCATCACAGATGGGTGGGAAACCTGCCAGCCAGCCATGTTTTTGAGGTAAAAGGGGACAAGACATGGGAAAGTTTAATGCTTTGAAAAAGTGACCTTTCTTGGTAATTAATTTGTCACTTCCCAACTCCATCTGCTGACTCGTCAGCTGCATCCATCATAACCATGCAAAAAATGCTGAAAAAGTCAATTGAAATGAGAACTGGTGTCAAACAGGCTTTGTGCAAACCTTTAGTAAAGGGAGAAGGGGGAAAAAAAACAAACAAAACCTGTCATGTAATGTTCTTTCCATCAACATACATACAGGTGGTTCTGGGGAGAAAAACTATGCTGGGAAGTTTTCTAGATAGGGTTGCTTTGTTCCCTGGTGATAAGCTGCAGTAAATGCACGGGGATCTGGGCAGCATCGTGGTGACTGCTGCATTTTTAAGGAGGGGTTTGGCCCAGATTGAGTGTTATTGACTGTGGTGACAGCAGCAAGTCCCTGGGGAGGCCCCAGGTGCAGAGCAGTGTGTACACGTATCGACAGGCTGGGATGGAGCTGGGGGAGACGGGTCATGGTGCTGGCTTTGGGCAAAGCTCTTTTCCCCTCCTTCCCAGC